AATTTGAAACATAAGCAAAATTTTTAATACCAATACATAACGGCAAAGACAAAGGCCCAAAGAGCTTACTGGGTATTTTAGAAGCTAATGTTGATAAATCTGACTTTAAGAAAAAACTAGTGATTGAATATTAGTTAAAAAGTAATGCTTTTGTCTGTTTTTGTTTTTTAAAAGCTATCAACATTGAGTAAACCGAATATCAGCTCAAGATGTCAGTTTAGCATAGCTCGAGTCTCATAAACTGGAATCCTTGACTGACCAAGTGTCCAGCTAAGTGTATGAATATTTCCAAGGGTGTTAATAGACTGCTCACTTGTTCAGTTATTCACCTGTGTAAGTACTTTGCTGCACCAAGACTTAGCACATTGTTGGTTAGTGTTTCCCAACCTTTGCAGGGTCGAGGAATTCCTCCACCACCTTTTTGAATATGGCAGCACTCCCAGTTGAGAACCACTGTTGGCACTGCCTCAGCCTACTTCGGTGATTCTCAATCAGATGTTGCTGCCTCCAAATAAAATAGCCTCACACACCTGTTACACAGCCTCCTTGGGAAGGTCTGTGATGTACACAGGATACTGCAGCACTAGGGCTCTGATAAGCCTAAAGTAGGCAAGAGCTGCCTCGTGCTATAGTCCTTCCTAGACCATCCTCCTCTATGCTCCTCCCAGAACTGGAACTGTGCCATGTGCCTGTTTCCAGGAGAAGTGTGGAAGAGGCCAGACCAGAGGCAATACAGCCACTCAGCTCCTGCCTGCTGTAGGCTGATCAAACTCCTAATGCAGCAGGACTGTGCGTAGAGCACTTTTACCTGGCAGCTGCTGTGGCAGCAGTGTCTGCATCGCTGCACCCTTGAAGGAAGCTCATGAAACCCCAGTTGAGAACCGCTGTCCTAGGGAAAGGATATTCAACCGTGTCAAGGGTAGGTTCTTCTTCAGCGTATGCTGTTGCACACCTGCCTAGAGACCTTTACTTCTCTGTGCCGCATTTTCCCTAAATCTCAAAGTTAATAATATTTGTCCACCATTATGATTTATGACGTCAATGAAACTGACACTCTGCTGAACAAGACTTTGCTAATATTTGAGTGCTTTCTAGATCAGGGCCTCTATCTGCTAAGTTAAGTATTCTTATCCACATAAAGAACAACAGTACAAGTTTGCCCACACTGTGGTTCAACAGTTACTTGGTGGTTCATTCCCCAAATGAGTTTAATCTTTTTGCTCATTTAGTCCTTAGCCTCTTCTGAGACCATCAAGAAACGTGTCAGCTGCAGCCATCTTTCTTGGGAGACTGACAGACATCCAGTAGCAATAAAACTGAGAGCATCAACGAGGCTTCTGAAACTGCTATCAGATAATAATTGCTTATTATGAATGCCCTAAAACTAAGAGCCAAAACTAATAATATTTTGACATGCAATAGAAAAATAAAAAGGTTTTTGACAAACCACAGGAATTGAAAAAACAAACAATTATGGTACAGAACAGGATAAAGAGATTATATCATGTAGGAAAGAAAGTTGATTTGTTTGTATTTACTTTCTTGAGGTATTTTAATACATACAATTAAATTACATAAACCAAGCTAAATGGGACGTTAAGCAAGAAATGAAATATAAATTAAGTTTATAGTAGGAAAATACAACAGGTGTAACTATGAGACACAGTAAATTCTGTAAGAAAACTGATGTGTAAAACATGTGGTCCATAGAGTTTGATCTTATCCACCCAGTTACTTATATTGCCAGCATCACTGTAGTATCCCTGTAGTAACATGAATAAGTTTAATCTCAGAACTCCCCTGCATGTAGCACAGTATTATGAGCCCCATTTGCAGACAGAGAAGTAAAGTGTGGGGACACTGTAGGCCTCCATTTTCAGAAGCATCCTCCAATTCTTGTTGACACAACCTGAGCACCCCTTTGATTTTAAATAGGGTGTTCATCCTAGGGCAGGACACTCAAAAAAAACAAAAACATGTTAGCCAAAATCAGTGGCCACTTTTGAAACTCACTGGCCTATATCACTTGTTGTAGGTTACACAGTCTGTCTATGGTAGAGGTACCACCTATCTGTGGCAAAGGTGAAAATGGAGACCAGATTTTTTCCAGAACCAACCTAGCCTTACTCTTTCAATCTGAATGTACATAAAGTCCTTCACATTATGGATGCCACATGCTATTAAAGAAATGCCCAGGGTTCACCACAGAGATATGCAAAGTTCATTGCTGGGCAAACTGATTAATGCACAAAAATGAACATAACATTCTGCATAGCAAGATCACAAAAAGTAAAGCAGAAGTCCGGTTTACTTTGTGTGTACGCATCCCACTCTTACACATTATAGGAGAGCAAGGCCTTCCCCCCCATGCAAACTCCCTTCCCTACATTATCCTGTGTGCTACATGAAACATGATTGTCTTTCCACTTCAATGTGGACTGTTTCAGGGCTTCTGTATATACAGTATATAGGTCCTGATCAACAGATCACCTAACTCCAGGTACAGCTTTAAACATGTGAACAGTTATATTAATATTAGTGACTTCAATGGTACCGGTTGGGCTTAAAGTTATGCACAAGCTTATGTGATCTGCTCGCTTGGACTCAGTCCTGCAGTCCTTTCCTCAATATAACTTTCACTGAAGTCAGTGGGAGTTTTGCTGGCAACAGATTTACAGCACAGGCCTTAGGTTTGCTAGGCATTAATTGGGAATTCAATAAAACATTGTCAGCTAATCAAAACACCAGGAAGAATCCTATGTTTTCTGAATTCTGTGTTTACTTGAAACTGTATTCAGTATTTTGCAGCAGCAACTAGGATAAATCATGTACATGATGATAGGCTGAACTCTGAGCTGATGGGACAGTTTCTGTAATTTGCTGAAGATCAATTGCAGGTGGATCTCAGGGAACACTGCTCCCTGCTACCCCACATTTCTAAATGGGTTATTGTAGTTACTGTGAAACTGAGATCAGAATCTGAACCTCTCACAATACAGAGATTTATGAGAAGGTAATGTTACTCTACTCGTTTTAAAATCAAACTAGATAGTGACTATTTCTCCTGAAACCATGTGACTTAAAAAAAAAAAAGAATTCTTAACTTTTATCAAAAGTTTTATCCCCAAAGTAAATGAAAGTATCTAGTCACAACCAAACTCAAGGAAATTTCTATTTTGCCTTCAACTAGACACATTTTAATATTACTTTTCAGTTTAAAAAAAAAAAAAAAAAGTTGTTTACAGCTTCCATTACTCCCTTCTTTTCTATAGATTTCACCCCTTTTTTTCCTTCGTAATTTGTAAATTACATTTCAACACTACGTAGGGCCACATTTACACTGGTACTAAGATCGTGTGTAGAACTAAAGTGTCCATTCACTGCAAAGATGCATGAGGAATACCCAATCAGCCCAGCAAACAGAATTCTTGGTATCCATACAGCTCCATCATTTAAGTTTCTGAGATGACTAAAGAGGTTAGGTCTCAATGCTCCTCCTCAGAACCTTATCCCCCACTGCACCCGGTTGGACTTCAAATCTCAACAACATTCATAAATCAAATGCATGTTTTAGCTCTGATCAACAATTTGAATCCCAGTGGGGAGTTTTCGAATTTTTTTACTTTGTAAAAATTGTTGCATCCATGACACAGAATTAAATTCTTGTCAAGATTTTAAAACCCATGTAACAATTTCTGAAAAGGGCATTTTCCAATTCAACTGTCCTGTAATGAATTATTTTAAGAAGTTTGGTTGCGTTGTACATTAACTGTAGAGTCAAAAAGAAACAACTCGCACATCTACACACACATAACCTACTCACTGAAAAACCTCAATAATTGAACTTCAGGTGATAATCTCTATAGGAATCGGCGAAGAGACAGAATCCATTTTCCCAAACCCTGTGTCCTCACAGATGTTTTCCCAACCTACAGACTAGTAATGCAGCTACTGCCCTTTCTTTCATAAAATTGCAGCAAAATATCTGCACTGTCCTGTCTAGGACCATCACCTATCCTATATCTGTTACAGAGGCTGATGAAGACCAAGGTGATATTACTAATTATGCTCTTTTATGAAAACTAAGCTTACTTCAAAACTTTTAAGTATATATAAAATATCAACACACCACAAACAATACTACTATATTTTCCATCATTTGGGGGCCAAATTCAGATGGATGTCACTAGGATCAAATGCACTTAAAACTACGCAAGTTCTGGCCACTTACACCAGCTCTGATTGAAATGATCACTTTACTTTGGTTTAGAAGTTGTCAGCCTCTTCCAAAACAAGGAAATGCAAAAATGCTCATGCCGTCCAAAGTACTTTGGACATCGTGTCAATTTAGCCACTAGGACTTGTCTTTCAAATTTAATAGCATCTTATATTATCAAATGCCAGGAAGACAAACAGTAACACAGAAAGAGCAAGAATTACCAGGCAATAGAGTTTTGCAGGTTAAGGCTGAGTTAACTCCTCTTCTTGTAGCACTACAGCTCAAATAACTTTCTCCTGACCCCTTAGGATTTCTGAATAATCACCATAATCATATCTGTATATATTCATTCTAAATCATTCTTCTGCACCTTACACCTAGTTGCACGTTTTACAAGGAGTTATGAGTTCAGGAAGTCTTTGAATGGACAATGTTGCACTTCCCATACTGAAATCATGACTGTACCGGTTTTAAAACTTTAGCCACAGTTCAACCGATTTCCCCTAAAAATCCAGAACTTTGTTTTAAATCATGAGCTAATGAGTCCTCGCCATCCAAAGCTTTCAACTAATCCTGCTAATAAAGCCCACCCCTTTTGAAAGCTCAACACAAACTTTCTGTGGAGTCTGGCCGAGACTTGGAGCACCCATGACAAGACATGTTTTCTGAAGTGCTAAAGCCTGAGCAAGCATCTGCTCAATGAAAAGGAGCAGCAAGAGAACCTGTATCGTATTAACAGCAATTATGCTCTTTTTCTTGTGTATACAGTTTACATACTTACCCAGGAAGGCAAATGGAAATTACAGACAGAGGAAGATGAAGCTGTCTCGAAGCCTTTGTCATGTGATAGTGACCTATAAAGTATCAAATAAAGGCACAGCATCAGCACACCATGATTTTCAATATTGCAACACTCCCCGCCAACAAGAGGAGACCTCCCAAAACTTAAAACCTGCCTCCCCCTTACCCCTCTCCTAGTTCACGTTAAAACGGGCTGACAGTGGCAAGCAGTGAACAAAAGATGCACCGTGTCTTTAAAGGACACTGGGACTGGACAAATGGAACAAATCATCTGAGTGTGCATCAGCGGGGTGGGTTATTTTTTCTCTCTCCCTCTCTTTCTCTCTCCATGATACATACAACACAGCAAAATAAAACGCACAAAGTTGATCACCATCTGCACACAGGAATAAATAACAATACAGCCCCGCAACTTCCACGAGGGAATCGATTGATCCCCAGCCTAAATACGTTATAATAACAATAATCAGAATACAACAGCAAGCCCACACTGCAGGTAGGAGATAGAGAGAGGTTGCAACGTTGTAACAGTTTCAGGTAATGCCCATTCCCCCTTTTGCAGCTCCGAGCTGCTAAGAGTCCTGAAATGGCAAAACAAACCCCTCCACCATCGCAATCCACACGGAGATGAGAAAGCCCCTAATCCAGTGCATGGGGAAAAGCCTTTGCAAACCACTGCCCCCCCACCTCCACCCTGTGCGAAGTGCATGTAGAGCCACCGGAATCTGGGTTCTGGGGTGGGGTGAAAAGAAAGGTATTAAATATGGAGAAAGGCTGGAGAGGACCCGAGGTTTCGCCTGCCTGCTTCCCCCCCGCCCTTGGTCACCATCAAGTTTGCATCTTAGTTACAAAATGTCGATCTTAAAGGCTGACAAGACACAGGGAGAGGGGGAGAGAGAAGAGAGAGAGAGAGAGAGAGAGAGAAGAGAGAGAGAGAGAAGAGAGTCCATCTTGCTTAGAGGGGGGAGGAGAAGAGCAATAATACAATGCATAAATCTCACCCTCCCAGGGGGAAAAGTCTGCACAACACCTTTGGGGCGGGCAAGGCAGGCAGGAGCACGGAGGGGTGGCGAGGGGAGATGCCCCCTACCCCC